TCAACGTCCTGCCTTTGCCAGGGTAACCCCTACCAACGCAGCTGGTGTTGGCTGGGACCTCTGGTGGTGGTTGATGGGGATGGGAAAGGGGATGGGAAGGGTGATGGTGATCGTGATGGTGGTGGCCATGGTGACAGCGATGGTGGTGGTGACAGCGATGGAATGGTGGTGACAGCGATGGAATGGTGGTGACAGCGATGGAATGGTGGTGATGGTAATGCTGATGGGGACGCTGATGGTGACAGTGATGGTACGTCAATGCTAATGGTCATGGTAACGGTGATGGTGAAGGTGATGGTCATGGTGAAGGTGATGGTAACGGTGATGGAGATGCTGATGGTTATGGTAATGGTGCTGGTCTCGGTAACGGTCATGGGGATGGGGACGGTGATGGGGATTGGTGATGCTAACAGTCATCACGATGGTGACGGTAATGGTGATGGTAACGGTGACTGATGGTGATGCTAACAGTCATCTCGATGGTGACAGTGATCGTAATGGGGATGGTGAAGGCAACGGGGACGGGTGAAGTTGATGATGGTGGGGATGGCGACGGGGGTGGGGATGGGGATGGCTGAAGGTGATGAGGGTGGGGATGGCGATGGGGGTGGGGATGGCGACGGGGGTGGGGATGGGGATGGCTGAAGGTGATGAGGGTGGGGATGGCGATGGGGGTGGGGATGGCGACGGGGGTGGGGATGGGGATGGCTGAAGGTGATGAGGGTGGGGATGGCGATGGGGGTGGGGATGGCGACGGGGGTGGGGATGGGGATGGCTGAAGGTGATGAGGGTGGGGATGGCGATGGGGGTGGGGATGGCGACGGGGGTGGGGATGGGGATGGCTGAAGGTGATGAGGGTGGGGATGGCGATGGGGGTGGGGATGGCGACGGGGGTGGGGATGGGGATGGCTGAAGGTGATGAGGGTGGGGATGGCGATGGGGGTGGGGATGGCGACGGGGGTGGGGATGGGGATGGCTGAAGGTGATGAGGGTGGGGATGGCGATGGGGGTGGGGATGGCGACGGGGGTGGGGATGGGGATGGCTGAAGGTGATGAGGGTGGGGATGGCGATGGGGGTGGGGATGGCGACGGGGGTGGGGATGGGGATGGCTGAAGGTGATGAGGGTGGGGATGGCGATGGGGGTGGGGATGGCGACGGGGGTGGGGATGGGGATGGCTGAAGGTGATGAGGGTGGGGATGGCGATGGGGGTGGGGATGGCGACGGGGGTGGGGATGGGGATGGCTGAAGGTGATGAGGGTGGGGATGGCGATGGGGGTGGGGATGGCGACGGGGGTGGGGATGGGGATGGCTGAAGGTGATGAGGGTGGGGATGGCGATGGGGGTGGGGATGGCGACGGGGGTGGGGATGGGGATGGCTGAAGGTGATGAGGGTGGGGATGGCGATGGGGGTGGGGATGGCGACGGGGGTGGGGATGGGGATGGCTGAAGGTGATGAGGGTGGGGATGGCGATGGGGGTGGGGATGGCGACGGGGGTGGGGATGGGGATGGCTGAAGGTGATGAGGGTGGGGATGGCGATGGGGGTGGGGATGGCGACGGGGGTGGGGATGGGGATGGCTGAAGGTGATGAGGGTGGGGATGGCGATGGGGGTGGGGATGGCGACGGGGGTGGGGATGGGGATGGCTGAAGGTGATGAGGGTGGGGATGGCGATGGGGGTGGGGATGGCGACGGGGGTGGGGATGGGGATGGCTGAAGGTGATGAGGGTGGGGATGGCGATGGGGGTGGGGATGGCGACGGGGGTGGGGATGGGGATGGCTGAAGGTGATGAGGGTGGGGATGGCGATGGGGGTGGGGATGGCGACGGGGGTGGGTGAAGGGCATGGGGTTGGTGATGATGGTGGGGATGGGGATGGGTGAAGGCAGCAAGGACGGGGATGGTGACGATGATGGGGATGGGTGAAGGTGATGGGGATGGTGACGATGGTGGGGATGGTGATGGGGACGGTGACGGAGGTGGTGATGATGGTGGGGATGGGTGAAGGTGATGGGGATGGTGACGATGGTGGGGATGGTGACGGGGGTGGGGACGGAGGTGGGGGTGATGGCGGGGGGGGGGGGAGGGGGGG